GCTGAGAAGAGTAGGAGAAGAAAGCAGGCCGAGCGATGGACAAGGGAGGCAATTGGGAAAGACGGGAGGGGTGAAGTCGGCATTTTGAACCCTGCAGGCTATAGGGCGTTCTCCTATTTATAAACACAGGTCTAACGATAATAATTTATTACAGAAATGATTCATCTATGTGGAGCTACCCCCTAACCATATTCATATCAAAATATAAATCTTCTGGTAAGATATTACGCATGCGCTAACACACTATCGTGGCCAGATGGTGTACTCACTGGTATATATGCAGCGCTCACCATACATGCAATGTCTTTCTCCTATTTCTTAAGAGAGATCTCCTGATGGAATGTTATTATATAAATCTATGCTAGAATATACCTGCTCTTTATATTAAATGCATTATCTTTGCAAAATATTATTCCTTTTGGAAGATATTGCGCATGCACGAGCACCGTTTCAGGCGTGAAGTACGGACTGAAGAAAACTGCATAATATAACTTGCTGAGGGAGTGAGGGTGGGAGACTGAGGAAAGGGGGCAAGGAAGATAGCTGAAAGCGGTAGAAGAAGATAAGAGAGGAGGCCGTGCAATAGACAATGGAGGCAATTGGGAAAGACGGGAAGGGGTGAAGTCGGCGTTTTGAACCCTGCAGGCTAGGGCGTTCTCCTATTTATAAACACAGGTCTACGGATAATAATTTATTACAGAAATCTATGTGGGGATATCCCCTAACCATATTAAATGCATATTCATAACAAAATATAACTCCTCTGGTGCGCGATTACGCATGCGCTAACACACTATCGTCGCCAGATTGTGTACTGACTGGTATATATACAGCGCTCACCATACATATGCAAGGTCTTTCTCCTATTTCTTAAGAGAGATCTACTGATGGAATTTTATCATATAAATCGATGCTAGCTATAGTATACCTGCTCCTCATATTCAATGCATAATCTTTGGAAAATATTATTCCTTTTGGGAGATATTGCGCATGCCCGAGCACCGTTTCATGCGTGCAGTACGGACTGAAGAAAACTGCATAAT